GATGTCACTACAGCAGCAAGCGAACAGAGAAGACTTGTCTTGCACTATGTAGTCAGTAGCAGTTTCCTTCTCTATCTCCACCTTATTTCAAATTCAAGATAGGGATAGCATGGGTATATCCAAAGGCATGGTACTGAGGAGGCTGGTACAGTGGAGAGGATGCAGAACTGGGACCTTTGGGTTCTGCTCCTAACTGCCAACAACCTGCTGGATGATTTGGGCATGTCATTTCACCTTTCTGTGCCTCTATTGGGCAAGTGAGGCTTGTCAGCTGTGGCAACCAATCTACTTAGGAGAAGGAAAACTCTAATAAAACAAACTTAGAACAAACTTAGTTTGTAAAAAGTTGAGCCAGTTCCACATGCTTTATGGGTCTGAACTCCTAACTCCGGCTAATAGGACAAGGCAAAACGATCAATATGGATGATCCTGAATTAATTTTGTCATTTCTCCCACTCATTTTCTCTTCCTCAGTAATGGGTGAACATAAGAGTGGCCATACTGGGGTAGATCAATGGTCCATCTAGCCCAGGATCCTGTCTTCTGGCAGAGGTCAATGCCAGAGGCTTCAGAGGGAGTGAATAGACCAGGATAGCTACTGAGTGAGGCCTCTCCTGTCATCCAGTCCTAACACTTCAAACTCAGAGGCTTAGAAATACCCAGGGAATGAAGTTGCATCCCAGACCATATTGATTAATTGCCATTGATGGATTTATCCTCCATGAATTTATCTGATTTTTTTTAACCCTGCCAAATACCTAATAAACTAGAGGTATCCCAGAAAAGCTCTGCCACATCCAAGGAATGTGTCCACTTTTTCGGAACAGTTTCCAAAAAAGCAGATGCATTCTGTTGGCATCCCTGTATTCCTCGTTGTAAGAGGAAGAAGGGATGTTCTGAAAGAGGATGTTTTTCCAAAATTTGACCCCATGTAGATGGGGCAAATTTAAGAAAAGCCTCTTCTGGGAGGAAAAAAAAAAAGGCAGAAAAAGATATGTAAATTGCAGTTAGCAATTTGCATATCTTTTTTCCAACTTTTCTTGCAATCTAAACATAGCCTCAGGGTCCCAGGGAATTGTTCCCTTTGTCTCTTACTTCCCTATTAACAGACCTGACTAATGGTCACTGTATAGACACATAGGCTACGTCTACACTGGCATGCTTTTCCAGAAATGCTTTTAACGGAAAAGTTTTCCGTTAAAAGCATTTTTGGAAAAGTGTGTCTAGATTGGCAGGACGCTTTTCCGGAAAAGCACTTTTTATGGAAAAGCGTCCGTGGCCAATCTAGACGTGCTTTTCCGCAAAAAAGCCCCGCTCGCCATTTTCGCAATCGGGGCTTTTTTGCGGAAAACAGTACTATGCTGTCTACACTGGCCCTTTCAGGCAAAAGTCTTTTGGAAAAAGACTTTTGCCCGAACAAGAGCAGCATAGTATTTCCGGAAAATCACTGACGATCTTACATGAGATTGTCAGTGCTTTTCCGGAAATTCAAGCGGCCAGTGTAGACAGCTGGCAAGTTTTTCTGGAAAAGCAGCTGCTTTTCCGGAAAAAGTGGTCAGTCTAGACACAGCCATAGTGCAAGACAGTCTCTGCCCCAGAACCTTTACCCTAAACTGGCAAGACAAAGAATTGGATAAAAGGAATAGTGTTATCCTCATTTTACAGATGGGAAACTGAGACATGAAGTAACTTGCCCAAGGCACTACAGGGTGAGCGTTTCAGAGTCTGGAATGGTACATTCAATCCTGAGTGTCAATCCAGCTTCTTAATCATGTATGCATTCTTTGTAGGATGATTCCTGACTTCTGGGTTTCTTCTTGGGCCAGCTCACTGGGCATTTGGACTTCTGGAGTTGGGTTTCTTTTTTTTTTTTAAATGTTAGTGTTTTCATTTTCCTTTTTTAGGGCAATTGGATACCTTGAGAAGTTTTCAATTACACGTATATGACAGTCAAAATTGTGCACTAAACAAATACAGAATTATAGTTGCTTCTCCCTACCTCTGAGCAAATACTTAATAGCAGATGCTGTATTGAGATCTTGTTAAGATTTCATTTTCTTTACAAAATAGCATAGTACATTTTTAGCCAGTGATCCTGCAATACAGGTGAGTTGTGCCACAGAAATCAATAGGGCCATTCACATGAGTAAACTTACTCATGTGCATAAGTGTTGACAAGGTCGGGGGTTAGCTGGTACATTCTTAGGATCAGGGACTTACTGTGCATTTGTAGAGGAGGTCCCCACTCATTTGCAAACTGCAGTTGTGCAAGTAAAAAATAGGGTTATAATAAAGCAGAACTACAATATATTTACATTTTTTGTATTTGTTTGCTAGTTCACGATAGGTCTCCAGGCCATGCAATTTAGCATGGCTGTTATACTTGTGCACATCTATGCTGAAAGCAAATAAGCATTTCTTCCTTGAAGCTCTGCTTCTGCAAAGGGTTAAGAACGTAAGTAATTGTATTTACATGAATAGTCCTAGTGAAGTCAACATGACTACTCCTTTGAGTATTATTGCCTGTGTTCTTAAGTCTCTTTGCCAGATTGGTTCTAAGCGTATTGTGATTCAAACTATTAGATAAATATTAAAGAAAAAGTGGGTGGGTGAGTGGTGGGGAGGGAAGGTTCTATGGAAAAGTCAAATATCCATTATGGCTGAAGAAGATTGATACAATATGTGCAGCTTTTCATCTCCTGAAGGGCCATCCACAGAAAATACTGCAGTTATTTCTCCTTTTGTCTCCAATTTCCTATACCCAGGGAGATGTGCCCTGCTGCAAAAGCTGAGCATTTTGTGAGGCAGGCTTTACATATTTATTTTGAATTATTACTACTCTATTGTTTTGTCTGTGGCTACTGCTTTTGGGCATCCTTGGGTTTTGATGGTCACATCAAAGGAGCTGCTCTGGCGTGAGAACCGGTCAATGTGAGCCAGATAATTCATGGATTTATTACCGAAGTTGGTTCCCATGATTGTCAGTGGGCAGCAGGCACTGGGTGTCGTAATCCTCATTCTCTTGGTATAGCACATACTGGCTTTAAAAGGTTTAATGATCCAACAGTGATTTACTAATGGGAATCTTTCTTCTGAGTTTACTAGACCTTGAAGGAGGACAGGATAACATATAAAGGTCACTTTAGCAGCAATATAAAAAAATATTTTCCACAACAAATAATTGCTGCCCACAGGATCTTATCTGCACAGATCACTATGTACAGCTTAATTTAAAAAAAAAAAAAAATCTTAGCAGCACATATTTGGGAGCATTATAATTTGCTTTTTTTAATTTGGAGCTAGTTCATGGGGGAGGGGGCGGGGGGAGAACAGCGGAATATGGTGCATTTATTGAAAACACATTTCATAACAGTAAAGCAAACCAAAAAAAAGCAAACCAAAAAACAATAATGGGGAGACATACATAAGCATCTAGGACTGCTTGGTATAGCTGCAAACTTATCTGTGGCTGGCATTTAAAACTAGCTGGTATTTAGGACTATGGCTAAAACCCTCTAACTAGTGTGGCTGGTTAGATCTCCAGTTTTACTGTGGTTTCAGCAAATTTCTGGCTTTCATTTTTGCCAGCAATGAGGGTTGCATTTTGGAGCAGCTGCCCAGAAAGGAGCAAGGTTAGGGTGAAAGAGGAAATGATTTTGACTAACTGAACAGTGCAACAGAAGTGTTTTCATGGTTGCCATTTCCTCTTACCAGTGTTGTGCTATTCCAGAACAACACTGCCAGAACCCCCAAACAAAATAAACTCCAGGGTCTTTATATCAAAAATATATTTAACAAGTAATAGGGCTAAAAGGGGTGGGGAGTAAGGATATTACTTTGTTTTCATAGTTGTATATATTGCAAAGTGCAGAGTATCATGGAAATTTTAAAACCATTTAAAACTTTCTACATGCAGTATATATACACACCTATGTTAATCTGATTACATATATAAGTCTTTAAAATAACCACAATTATTTTAACACTTCCCAAAGGAGCACTCCTCCCAAAAGAAAAACTCCCTGGATCCCCAATGTATGAAAAAAATGAAACATTATTTTTTCTGACTTTGACTAAATGCTTAGACAAAGTATCGCTCCCCAAAATAACCTTAATTTTGCCCTTTTGTATTCCTGGATACTAAAATAGGGATTTATTATATTTTGTCACATAATAATGTAACTTTATATCTATCTCCTTTCCTTTTTGCCAGAACTATATTGTTTCCTGGATTAGTGTAATCATTTAATAGAAGGGGCTACTGTAGTTAATGCACATGATGATGCAGCAGAGTTAGAATTTCCTGGCTGGATTATGATCATAACTGTAACATTACATGAATGTAATTTTTCTTCATTAAAACTTATTTAAAAATGTAAAAAAATACAGTTAACACTTCATAACGAGGTTCAATAGATGAGTAGCTGTTTTAATATACAAAAGTTACACATTGTCTATAACCTTACAGTTTTTGATTGAAGACAGTATTGCCAGCCCCTGTGCATGGTTTTGGAAACTAGACTTGAGTTTTTAAAAATCCCAAGACTTTTAAAAAAATAGTATGTTGGGTTCATTTTGTTTGCCTTCTGATTTTTGAGCCTTTAGTGAACACCCAGTTCGTATTTTGAGGCTCTCTCTGCAACCAGGAGGACTAGAAACTACTTCTTCCAGAAAGCTGGGGATTTAAGAAGAGCATCAACCTGATGTCCAAGCACTGTATTCCAGGGTGGCCAGGCCTTATTTTACCAAGGACATCATTGCAGAATAGCTTCTGGCTGATCCTTTTTTATTTGTTTACTTACTCCTCTGAAAACTTAGAGCAGGAATAAAACTTTCAGAAAGAATGGCTCTTGCGCAAGAGGGGGGTTTTGCACAAAAAGGAGCCGTCTACGCAGCTCCTTTTTGTGCAAAAGCCTCTTGCGCAAAAGTGATCGCTAATTAATTATGCAAATAAAGCATGGTGATATTCCACCCCACACTTCATTTGCATAAGCTTTTGCGGAAGAAGGCTACAGTGTAGACGTAGAATAATTAGAGTGTTAACATGCTATGTATTATTAATACCACAGAAGCAACAAAGACTTCTCAGGTGATGCCTCCCAAAGGCAGAAACAAATCTGTTTAGCTTGCCAAACAGCTTGGAAATGTTCCGATTAAATGATGTTCTTTGGAAAACCTCAATTAATCAAAACCAAAAGTATTGGCAGGAAAGGGTCAGTTCTGAGAAATTTTCTGATATGAAAATGTTTTGGAAAAATTTCAGAATTATCAGTGCGCCCCATTTTGACATTTTCAAAATGAAACATTTTATTCTGATTCAAAATGACTGTTTCAAAGATGTTATAATAGTTTTAAAGAGTTAAAACTTAAATCAAATATTTTAAGATGACTGAAGTGAAATGTTTCAAAATTATTAATTTTAATTGACCCAATCTAAACAAGTTTTCAGATTACTGGACTGTGTAAGAATTCAAGATTGATTTTTAATTCCAGTTTAGAACTAGGAGGGAGGAAGGGGGGAGACTTTCAAGCTCTCAGTCTCAGGAGACAGGAAGCTATATTAGCTTATAAAATCAGGAAATAATAATTACATATTTTGATGGATAAAGCCCCCTACTTTCAAAAACCAACTGCTACTACTTAATTTACAATGATTCTTGTGATTGACTCAGTGAGGGTACATATATACATGAACACTGTTGTTCTTTAAGATTTTTAAAGATAACTGGTGAAACAAAGTACACATTTTACAAATGTGAAGTTGAAAAGGTTAGAGACTTCTAGTAAAAGTTACACCAATTCAGGTAATCATAAATCTGACACTTCCTAATTTTTTGCATGCTATATTTTGAAATCCAAAGAGTTTTCTTTTATTATTTTTAATGCAGTAGATATAGACTCTTCCATCCTTACCTGATTCGTATGAACAGAGCCACAGTCAGCAGACACGGGAAGTTATTATTCTCCACCAGCTATTCAGCAGTGTATATAAAATGATTGATTTCAGTTAAGTTCTCACTGGGCAAATGTCCATGTCACATCAGTACAGATGACACCCTTGTTGGCACTCTCAGCAGAGAGGTCAGAGACTAAATGGGCATGAAGACTGAGCTACAGTCTCATCCCTAACTTATCCTTCACAATGGTGTTGTCATGGCATAACTGAGAATTTTGCACCACCGCTGCCTGTACTATTTCCGTTGCCTGGATTCAATAAAAACAGCATTTAAACACTAAGACATTGGCACTTCATGCAAGCCCAGAAATCCATACCTGTTTTATTTCTGAAGTTAGGTAACTATGGCTCAATTTTAAAATAGTTTATTGCAGAAAAGGAAGCATTTCTGACTCATGTATATACTTTTGTCTATGATTTGGAGGGCACAAATCAAAATTAAGAGCCAAGGGCAAATGAAGCCCATGGCTGCTCTCATTTTAGAATGTTGGTGTGACTTCAGGAATATTTCATGTCCCCACATGGTTTGACTGACAAGGCTAATAGTTTCTGCATTGAAGACAAAAAGTGAGATGATGCAATTTGCTCTCTTCTGTAAAATGAAGCCTTCCAACACCTTGCAAGTTGGCATAAGTTTACTCAAACAATTTAGAAGAAAAATTCAAAGTACTGGAACTCAACATTGGCAAACATACCTAGAGCAGCACTTTTGTTTCCAAAGGAAAAAAAAAAAATCTGACTTCTTCCTCACACAGCTGACTTCCAAAATCTCTCTCATGCCCTTTGTTCATTCTTTAATATTCTATTATCCAAAAACCTGCAAAATAGGCAAGATCATTCTTTTTATGATTGGAAGTATTTTTTTATTGCTTGGACCAAGGGCCAGGCACAGGGCACCAAGGTGCAGGGGTGGTAGTTCAGACTCTCATACGGTCTCAGACTCTGTCTTAGCCATGTCATGTCCCCAGGTCTCAATTTACCCATCTATAAAAGAGGGCATCGTAATACTTTCTCTGCTTTACAGGGATGTTGAGGCTTAACCAACATTAAGTGCTTTTAGTGCACATGAAGTTAAGTATACTATAGAAGCTCTATTATCTTCCTGATTGGAGATAAAATGCTAGGTGTGGCAAACTACTTTACTAATCCATGAGGCTCTGCAAAATGGAAGACTAGAAGAACTGAAAACCATCACACTCTATTAACATTTTTGAAGATCTCCTGGGTTTAGTACCTGGCCACTCATTTCAGATAGTACCAAATCCTTAAAGTTTTAATGAAAAAGACATCTGCAACCCACAGCTGTTTCTTGTTGTTGCTGGAGTGCAGGAATTGTATTGCAAGGTTTATTGTCAACCTATGCAGAGCTAGTTTACAAGCCTGAAAACAACACTGTTTTAGTGGTAGACGGTTTTACCTCATCCCCATTTCAAGCACACTACTTAACAGATGTGCTTTTACAACAAGCAAAAAGGTCAAAACAGTAACTTATGGATGCCAGTTATCAAAGGTAGATGCTGAACTTCAAGTCCATTTAGGCTTTCCAATTCCCAAAGTCAAGCAAAAACCACTGCAACAAATCATCTATAAAAACAGTCAAAAAGGACTTCATTTAATTAGTGATATGTAAAGATTTTTGCATAGAAAAAGGTTAACAAAATAATGCACAAAAAAGCAACTAGGTACAGTATTTTTAAAACAAATATTTTAAAGTATACTTTGCATAATGTTTAACATTCTCCATGTTTATTGCTTTCTCCACACAGCAGAGAAATCAAGTGCATAATAATACATGCTGTGTTTTATTTTGTCATAAAATCTCTAGTTTTTGAATCAATGTATTAAAATATTAGATTATTTTCAGTCACTAATAAAAAGAAAGCAAAATATTTAATGCAGCACTAGTTGTCTGGGTACTGAAAAAATAATTTACTGATATGCCCTTTTGTACATTCATTTTGGTTTGGAATCAAACCCTCATTTACAATGATGGCATGAAAAAAGCCAATTTAAAACAACTCCATAGAAACTTCCATTCAGACCCAGAGAAATCACTACCTCCAGAAGTTGATATTGAAGAGAGGAGAGAATCAGGAGGCTGCTAAAAATAAATGTCCATATGCAACTAAATAAGTTAATCTAAACTCTTTACAACATTAAGTCTTTTGTATTGGCATGACTCAGTTTTGATTTGTTCACTCTTTTAGAAGGGAACTACTTCTGCATGCACTATAAATTCATTGCTTGTACAGATACGAGCAAGCACCATAGTCTAAGCCATTTTAAACAAAGTGCCTCTGGGCTCACAGACAGTGCTGAAATGTTCATCAATCAAAGCACTGATAGATAAGATAATTGCTTTTACCAGTGCTATGCTAGATGTCACCATTTGGCAAGTCTGTACAAAGAAAGTCAGCTAGGTAAGATAAAACTAGGCCTGTCAAGTTGAACATTCTTTCTTAGCAACCCTGTTGGCTAAATAAACCTGTTGATTTAGAGTTCACTGTTTCCTGGAAATATATCAAAACGTCTGTGGTTTAATGCAGGATCCTCCCCATCCTGCTGCCCCGTCAATCTCTTTTTTCATACTTGTGCAGTGTTATTTGCTTTAGAAGAATGTATACATGTGTCAGGCACTTATGAAACAAACTTTTTGTCCAGCCGCAGGAGAAATTTATCCCAGTTTATCTGCCAAATAGTAAAGAATGGCCGGAGGATTATTTTTTCTGGAGTTTACATATTTCTCAATACACTTTTAAATGGTCATATGGGGGATGATGTTTTTGAAAGCCACTGTTGCTCACCAAGGTGCCTTAAGCAAAACAAAGAAAAAGATACCCAATATTGCTATAAGTCCTCTCTGAAGTCTGGCACTAGAATAGCTTTACTGTTCCTTGATTGGCTTGCAGGCATCTATATGGCTATTTGCGTGGATACCGACCTTCAATTTGACTGATCAGGAAGGACATGGAGTTACTACTGCATGAAGTCCAAAGAAGGCTTGTGTGTGAGAGTGGAGGGGAGGCTTAAAAAGCTCCAACTTCAGTCCCCCAAGGACGGTAAGGTTTACTATTTCCACCACTGCTAGTTTGCTGAGGACTGGAAGCAGCCGATACAGATAATGGTGGGCTGATTGCTGTTGCAGCTGCCACTGCCGCTGCTGCACTAGGTGGAAGCATTGGGAATGCTCCAGCAAAAGACAGAGGGAAGCTCTGGGCAGCTGCAGCAGCAGCGTGTACAGTGGCAGAGAGTGAGAGAAGAGAGGTAGAGAGAGGTGGGACGCAGGGAGCAACACTGCCGGCAGAGGGCACTCTGAGTGCAGAGTCAGCGTGGGCAAAGGTAGCTGTGAGAAGAGCAGAGCCATGTGGGGGCATTTCTGATGCCGTTGAAAGTCTACAAGGAGTAGTGTCAGAGGAATGAAGTCCATTCTGCTGCAGTAAAGTGGCAGGGAGATGGTGAAATGCTGTTGTCCAGTGGTGAGGATGCAAAGGATGATGGTGGTGAGCCATGGAGGTCATTGCAGCAGCTTCTCTTTGGGATGCGCAAGAGCTGAGATGAGACACAAGTCTAACTCTTAGTGGATCAGATGTGTCCAGACCTTCCACTGAGCTAAGATATCTTGCAACTTCAGTTAAGCATTCTCTAAATCCAATGCTCATGAAATCCATGGCCAGTGCATGAGCATCAAAATAGCCTGCAAGGAAAGGTAAAAAAATGCATTGAATATTAGATGGTTTTGTTATCTGTTTTAACTAAGAGTCAGCTAGCAAGATCCTGGCTAAATATCTGTATCTCCTCTTTATAGTTTGGGATTTGGTGGGAGGAAAGTTTGCTTTGTCAATTGTGTGTGATTAATCTCTGGTAATTCAATATACTACAGTTGTTCTTGCAACAAAATATTACAATGAAGAAAAATTAAGACCATCAGTGTTTGAGGTTCTTTAAAAAAAAAAAAAAAAAAAAAAAAAAAAAAAAAAAAAAAAAAGCAAAGCTTTATGATGCCTCTCATCTTGTATTGTGGGAAACTGAAATTCCACAGCAAGCTTTTCCATGGTAACATTGATCCAGAGTCTCTGTGTCGTGTCTCATACACATACGCACAAAGGAATAAGTTGAAGATTAAAGGGCCTGTATATAATATCCTGCCCTTTTCTCCCCTACATTGGCATTTATAAAATAGTTCTTAAAATCTACCACATGAGTTTGGAGACAGTATTTACAAACTCTACTAAATAAATTCATGAAGGCTTCATGACATGTATTATTTAACAGCAAACTAAGAACATCTTGTCATTGCTTCTTCATGAAAAGGTTTTCAATAAAAAACTGCATTACATCAAGTATTATCACTTAAAGACAAACTATGTAGGGGCTATAGTCATCTGACTTCAGAGGCACTTCAGCAAATGATAACTAATCGATAGCACATTGGATGGGAAGGAGAGAAAGGATAGAAACTTTCTAAATACAAATGAAATTACGTTCTCCTTCTCAGAGTTTCTTCAAACTCAGTTTACAGACTACAAAATGTGATTTATTGAGAAAACTATTGCCCTTCAGAGTGAAAGTAGCCTCCAGTGGGAAATAAAGCCCTATGGGAGTAACACCCATTCAGCATTATACCAGCATAGTATCCCATTTTCAGTTCAAAGCGGAGGAGTTAAATTCAAGTCAGAGTATTTAAACTTTAAGCAACAGCCCGCAGACGCTTTTTATTGTACCACCTTTTATTCTGAAGTTACCCCAGACTCCTTTCCTGTCTACACATAACTCCATCTCCATCCCCAATTTATTGGTGCTGTCAGCGGCGGCTAGTTGGCTTTTCTTCAGCTGTAAGCTAAAACCCATAAGAGGCTTTCATGCAGGCTGGTAACCACCTACTCCTACTGCACAGCAAATGCACAGGCTAAATCATTTAAGTACTGATAGTCCTCCAGTGCCACAATTCCCTCTGTGCCCAGAAGAACAGATAAGGTCTCCTACAATCACAAGGTCAGACTCACACAGCAGCTCAGCTTATGGAAAGACACACAGGCTGTGTCACCAGAAGTCCTAGTGACACATGCAGGTGTGCAGCAACAGTGAGGACACACTGACTCAGGAAGGGCTTTGCAGAATGGCTGCTTGAGAAGCAGTGAAGACATATAAAAATTATATTAAGGTTAAACTGAGTTATAAGTTGTTGGAAATTGCCATTTCCTTTTTTCTTACTTTCCAGCCCAAACATCACTGCAGTACTGGCTAATGAGGAATAATTGAATGCTCTCCTGTGTGTTACTGCTTGCATAAAAGTAGGAGTTCAGATATGCATTATCTGTCTATCCCCCTGATATGTAGAAGTGTATGTAACAAGATTAGATTTTGGTCTAGTGAAAGAGACAGTCTAATCTGGCATTTAAAATAGTCTTTCAAAAGAAAGAAAATACATAAACAATAATGAAAGTGCCTCTGGATCCCACTTCCTTTGGTATAACTGCTGTATAATGAATTTTAACGTTGGTTTTGTGCTGCACAATTGTTGCCACAAACCTCCTGTTTATGTTTGGATGTTTGTGTATTTGTTTTGTCTCCCTGTGCAGATTTCAGTGCTCTTTGGAAACCCCTAACAAATCTCTGACTGGGCTGCCTGTGAATGAAGGCTTTACTCCCACAGTGTTATGAAAGCAAACACAAGCCCAGGGTCAAGTGCTTCTTTTGTCCCAGCAGTTCTTTCCCACGAGTTCAATCCTGACATTAGCATTGATTCCACTCGTTTAATCTGGAATTTGCTTATCATGGCTCATCAGAGGATTGCTTGTTAATTTTTTTCCCTAATATTTGGGGGAAAAAGTCAAATCCTTACCTTTACCTCCTGTTGCCTGGAGCATCTTCAAATGATCCACTGTCATTTGCAGTATTTCAGCTTTTTCTAATTTTGCAGATCCCTTTGAGATAAGAGGCTCAAATAAATAGAGGCTTACAAGTACTGTGAGCTTTAATTTGGTTACTTTCTACTAAGTTCAGTCTTATGGCTTCAATTTTTCCTCTCATTAGAATGTTCTCAGCTCAATGATTTCACTGAGCAGCTGCATCCCAGACTTTATTTAAAGACAAATATCATATATACAGCAGTGCTTGGGTGTGTCTAGACTACACCTCTCTGTAGACAGAGAGATGTAGATTAGGCACACTGAAATTGCTAATGACGCAGGGATTTAAATATCCTGCACTTCATTAGTATAAACATGGACACCATTTTTTTCAAAGCAGTTTTCCTTCCCCCATCCCCTCAAAAAAAAAAAAAAAAAAAAAAAAAAAAAAAAAATCTAGAGGTGGAGCTGTTGAAAAATAAACCCTTTTTTTGAAAGATCCTGTAAACCTCATTATTTGGGAATATAGGATCTTTAAAAAAAAAAAGGGTTTATTTTTCGACAGATCCACATCCAGACTGCCTTTTTTTCGAAAAAGCTCCATTTCGGGAAAAAAGTGGTGGCCATGTTTATGCTAATAAAGCACAGGATAGTTAAATCCCTGCCTCAGCAATTTCGATGTGCCTAATCTACATCTCTCTGTTGACAGAGAGGAGTAGTCTAGACGTACTGCCTGTGTCTAACATATGAGTAAAGAAATAGTGTTATCACAGAAAAATAAAAGTTTAGAGGGTTTACTCGCTATTTATACAACAGAAGAGATCATTACAGTATTAAGGATGTAAAAATAGAATTGCCTGACAAGATGATTTGCCTTTTGAAGTGTCTAATATATCTCTGGACTAGAAGTCCATGTAGACGCTGTTGTACAATGGATTAAGTAGGTGGCTCTTCAGAAATTTGTTACCAAATAGGCATAGAAATAAACAAGCAGCAGGCAATGTGCAATTGTTGATGGGAACCTATCACAGCATTGTTTTCTGCTTTTACCAGTAGATGTCACTGTGTATGTATACCAAAGAAATCCAGGAATTACACAGATTTAATTAATTAATTTTTTTAAGATGACCCAACCATCTTCGTTCTGTCATTTGGACGATAAACATTCTATTCTCATTCTTTTTTAAACATGGTCATTACTGTGCATACATATACATGGTCCAATACTTTCTTGGGTAACAGGAGTTATTTATAGGACCAGGAAAGACCATCTCAGTTGTGACTGTTTTCTTCCATTATTTGATCTGAGGAAGTGGGTCTGGCCCACGAAAGCTCATCATCTAATAAACCATCTTGTTAGTCTTTAAAGTGCTACATTGTCCTGCATTTTGCTTCAGCTACCCCAGACTAACAGGGCTACATCTCTACCATCTCAGTTGAGAGAGACAGCTGAAGAGGGGCTCATGAACACAGCACATTATGTTGGTGATGGTAGTTCACAGGCTTAAAATGTATAATTGTCCAATATTTGTAAGTTTTAAAATGCTAAGAATTAATTTTGCTTGTAGATACATTCATGAATATTCATCTGGCTATTAGCTTTTCCTTACAAAATTGGAGGATACCTGAAGAGCTACACTTTCCTTTAAATACTATGGGCCAAATTCTCACCTGGAATAAATCAGTACAGCTGCAACAGAGCTATGCTGATTTATGTTACCTGAAAGTCTGGTCCCGTGATCTAATTCTTCTCTGTTACATCCATGCAACCTCACTGACTTCAGCAGGTATAAACATTCACCAATTTCACTGATGTTGTATGGTGGAAATGGAGTCAGAAGTCTATTTCTGTGCAACTGTTTTATGATATTTAAAACTGAATCGCCAAAGACTAGGGACTGATTTTTTTCCCCCCCCTCTTAACAGGCCCATACACAAGAAATTCTGTGGTAGGCTGAGCCCCATGGGAGGGGCTGGTAACTGCCCTGGCCTCCCAGTTCTGCCCTACTCCTGAGGGAGGGAGGGGGAAATCAGCCCTAGCCTTCCCCTGGCTAGCCAGAACACCAGGGGCTGGGGGGAGGGGGAGGAGAAGATGGGGAGACTGGGGCAACGCACTGCCCCAGACTCATGCTTACTTGGAGGACCGGGGGGAGGGAGGGGGAAATACATTCCACCCTTCACACTCCCCCCTCCTCCCCCAACTTGTTAAACTAAGGCTAATGATCCTTTACAAGTATGGACGTTTCTGTCACACGAATGTGAAGGAGAATACTAAACACTGATATTCCATGGCTGCTATATCATGGAAAAGTTTTAAAAACTCATTTCTAGTTTTTCCCCACATTCATTTTTTTAAATAATTTAATATGCTCAACATCTCAGTATACCAAAATTTGGTACATTTGTGACTATTGATTGTTAGACTTGTTAGCATAGAGACATTATTTTTCTCTGTCTTAATCTTTTTCCATAGACAGAATACAAGCCGTCTCAGAAAGAGTGACTAATAACTCAAAACTGCATGTAGCTGGGTAATTTCCAAGGGCTTTGTAGGACTTGTTTTATAATGTTTGTGGTCTTCAAGAAGTAAACAATAAAATGGGACCAAACAACTGTTGTCTGTTTTGCCTTGCTGAAAATGCCTGGGTCATGCCATTATGCCAGAGCCTATGAAATGGCACTGTTCTTACAATGAGCTGTTAAAGGCATATTTCAGGTAGCATATGTGCTAGCTGTTGCATAGTTCAGAAACAGTATAAGTCCCAATCCACAGCTGAGCACTCTCAATGCCCACACAAATCAATGGGACCCGAGAGCAGGCATTTAGCACCTTGTGGATTTGACTCACGCTTTTTTAAAAAGCAAGCAATATTTTAATTACTAAGAGCTTTGTTTTTAAAATTTGTGTCATTCTCTCTTGTTGGAATATGAGGATTTAAATTAGCAACATCTTTGCCATATTTTGAGGTTTGGTTTTATTCTAATATGTCCTGGTATTTCTATTTTACTTAAAATATATATTGGAGTTTTACTGATGTTGACGTTGCATGAAATTAGCAAATCAAGTAAGTTGTTAGCTGGGAATTTAAAACAGACAGAAACTTAAGGACCCTGACCCATAGCCCACTGAAGTCAAGGGGAATCTTTCCATTGAAAACGTTTAAAAATCCCACTGACTCAATTAGGAGCAGCACCATATTCCTTCAGAATACAGTGTTACTGCTAACTAGACATTTAAATATAGTAAAGTGTCTAGACAACCTGTTTACATTTTACAGAACTGATTACATTCTGGATTTGTTGATTTTGTTTATAAGGAAGCTATTTAAAAAGAGGTGTGGTAGTGGGATTTCGTTAGCAGATTTAGACAGACGGGGAACTGGCACAGTTGGGATTTTTTTTTTTTTAAAGTACATGGAATAAAGCCCATTTTTAACAAAACCACTACTGGAATTCATCGAAAGAACAGAGACAACATGAATGCTGTTACCCTTGAGGGAAAAGCAAGCTAAAGAATGGAAATATTTTTCAGCTTTATGATGGATTATGTTTTTAATAGTTTTGCCACAACAAAGCATTTTATTGAAGTGCCTGCTTTGAGCCAGATCAAGATACATACAATATTATTTTAATGAGCTTTGTAAGAAACCCAACATTGCCAATCAAGATACAGGTATTTAAAAAAAAAAAAAAAAAAGCTTACTTGTTTTTCAAAAGCAGTTGGCACAAGCCGCCTCAACTCAGATAAACTGTTATTTATACGATCACGGCGCCTTTTCTCTATAATCTATCCCCCAAAAACAAAACAAAAACAAGTTTATAAAACCATGAAGGACAAAAGGCACAGGACAGATGCAAGTGTTACAACAGAAATTTAAAAATATTCCATACCCCTCTTCTTTTCTTTCTGGCCATTATCTGAGATGATGTTGTTGGGGAATTTGATCGAATCACAGAACCGTTACTTTGCCTGTGAAATGGGAAAGATAGGTCAGGTGTTGCATAATATTACACTGTTGCAGTGTAGATACCTATTGTCAGACATTAAATATTCACAGTTACTTCTATGGTGTTCTACAATTTTGGAAGAGGTGCTTTGTCCTACAAGGTTAAGTCTTCTCTTCTTACTGACATTTTGCTTTCTCTCTCTCTCCTACTGCAGTGTTTGAACTGGTTGGCAAGAGAACTTTCTTGGAAGTATCCTTCCCCAAAACACATCATGGTACTAGCTCAGCTGATTTGTCTTCCACCATGAAGAATTAATGTATAAAATATTCAGTCCAATAAAATGTAGTTAAGAAAACACAATGAATTAATACACTTAGATGACACTTATGATGAAAGGTGCTTTAATGTTCTAGACATAGACAGAAACACTGTCTGTGCTTAAGTTCTCACACTGGTGCCCATCATGGCAGTACCCAATTGCCGCCAATGTAACAAATAAAAGTGTCATAACTCCATTGCTCTGTCCAGCTCCAGAAAAAAGTTTATCAAGTTTGTTTTTAAAATCTACCATTACTATCAAGTGTTATATATTTCAAAACCAAATATCTTTCAGATAGACACGGAGAAAGATGTTTCTGCAGATATATGAAAAAAGGGGACTCCGGGATGTGCGTCTCAAAATTGGTAATATCTTTCAACTTTCAAATCCAGCCATCTGGGCAAACTCTGGGAAACTTCATCTTTAATTTACTCAGTGAGTAAGTGTGCTTGTAGTGTTTTGTCAGTGACAGGAATAATATCTTACTTTCCAAAGTAGTTTCCAATACCTCAAAACTTATGAGAGACTACTTAGACTGATCACTTTTAAAGATATTGCTATTATTATATTTTAAAGCCAATCTTTACAAGTGATCATAACTAATTAATTAAAGCCAGACTTTTTTCTTTAAGTTTCAAAATTATTTTCAGATTTTTGGATCTTATAGGTGATAGACAGCCATATATAAATCATGTAAACATTTGTGGGAGTAGATTAAATTATAACTTTACCTGCTTGTGCATTAAAATTCCTAGTAGAACTCGTTTTTTAAAAAATGTTAAATTAAGATACAAAGTCTTTGTTCATGTTTGTTGTTGGTAGCACATGGTTTCATGAGTCCACATGTACTGATTATTCAACTATTTAAAAAATAAATCCTGAAACAGATTGTTACAACAGATACTACTACCTAAATCAGATGATGAGCATGTCATTCCTCAAAACACACAATGACAAGACCAGAGTTGATTTAATTGCTATAAGGCAGTATTAGGCCTTTTATCATTTCGTTTTTTCAGATGGACTGTTGGAAGTGTTTAAACTATAATTAGACTAATAGTGAAAAGAACCTACTGCACTTCATTGTCTGCCTGAAGCATACCTTGCTTGCTTGTGCTCCCCCCTTCTATCACTGCCACTGGGGTGTGACAGTTTGGGCTCAGGGTAAGTTACTCCAAAACAAAACAGGACCGCAGGAGTGTTGGGAATTATGGTTGACATATATTCCACCCAAAACTTTCCATAACTTCCCCACGCCCCCACCCGCCGCAGGCTAGCGCCACATGCCGGGATAACCCATGCTAGAATATTTTCTCCTGCTGATAAAACACACACAAGGCAAGCACAGGAAAAGGTGATGCTGGAACTGCCAAATCACAACGTCCGACATGGGCAACACCACCTGCCCAGGCATGGGCCAGCAGCCATTCCCCGCCCACGAACAGCACACATCGCCTGGTGGGCAGGGCACTGCCCCATGCCAGGGGTGCTGGAACAATTTGCAGCAGGAGCTGCTGCAAGCCACCGTACCCAATGAGAGCGATGGGAAGCCCTTCGCGCCGGGGGGCGTCCCCAGGTCCTTACCCCAAGTAGTTACTCTCGCTCCCCACGTCTATGGTCTCGTCCATGTCACTCTCGGAGGTAGTTTCCTCGCACGGCCGCTTCATGGCGGCGGCAGGACACGCGGCACAGCCCCTGCTTCGGACGGGAGGCGAGCGCCGTGGCCCCCGAGAAGCCCGCAGCCCGCGCCGCTTCTGAGGCGCTTTCCCACGCCGCCGCTCGGGCTCCAGCGCCCCGAACCCGC